CTTTAAGGACTTTGGTTAATTTGAAAAAAAATGCAAATTTTGTTATCCTTATTGTTGGTTAATTAATAATGCGAATTCTGAGCTAATTAGGAATTTGTTGTTAAATTTTGCAAAATTTGAGATCCTTACATCATTTATTTAATTAATAATATGAATTTGAGCTCTTTAGTTCTTTTGGTTAATTAACAATGTGAAAACAGCACTTAGGAATTTGATTATAAATATTTGCAAAATTTGAGATCCTTAAATCATTTATTTAATTAGTAATGTGAATTTGAGCTCTTTAGTCCTTTTGGTTAATTAAGAGTGTAAAAAAGCACCTTTTAGATTCTAATGTTTGATTGATTTGAGCTTTTTTTTAGTTCTACAATTAGTTTAAAATGCAAATTTGTGTTCTTTAGGCCTGTGGTTTGCAAAAAAATGTGGCTTTAGCTTTCTAGTTCGTAATTAAAAATGCAAACTTAAAGTCTTCAAGTTTCTTTACGAATATGGTAAAATTGGAGGGGGTTTACAAGGATAGACATTTTAAGATTTCATTTTTGATTGATTAGAGTTGATCAAGTGCAGATGGAAATGTAAGCTTTTTGGTTCTTTGGTTAGTTGAAAATGCAAAATTGTTGCTCTTTTTAGGTCTTTGGGTAATTAAAGAATGCAAGTTTAAGTGATTTACTTCTTATGGTTAATTAAAAAAGAAAAGGCAAAATTGAGCTCTTTAGTTCATTTTGCTATTTTTTTTTTAAAAAGGGCTCTTTAGTTCTTTTTGTAATTAAAAGAAATGCAATGTTTGTGCTTTTCTTTACTTTGGTTAATTAAAAATCCAAAATTGATCTTTAGTTGTTTGATTAATTAAAACAGCAAATTTGAGTTCTTTAACTCTTCGGTTAATTAAAAACACAAATATGCACTGTCTAAATTTTAAATTAGTTAAAAATGTGAACTTGAAATTATTTTAGTTTGCTTGTAATAGGAATATAGTGGAATTGAAGGGAGCTTACGAAGATCGGCATTCCGTGAATTTAATTATGGAGCTGTGTGAAGGAGGAGAGTTGTTTGATCGGATAATAGCAAAGGGGCATTATTCAGAGAGAGCAGCAGCCAAATTGTGTAGGCAAATTGTGACTGTTGTGCATAATTGTCATACAATGGGAGTGATTCATAGGGATTTGAAGCCTGAGAATTTCCTCTTTTTGAGTACTCATGAGGATTCCCCTTTGAAGGCTACTGATTTTGGGCTCTCTGTGTTTTTTAAGCCAGGTGATTTTTTTATGGTTAGTTGAAGGTACTATAATTTAATGCCTTAAATTATGGATTGTTAAATGTATTTACTTATTGCACCGTAAGAATCCATCTGCATCACTTTGTAATTTAACTAATTGTTTCATTTTACGAATGATAAAGGATATTATTATTGTTGATGACTTACTGGTGATAAATTTAAATCGAGTGTCTGTTTGTTTGCAGGAGATGTGTTTAAAGACCTTGTTGGAAGTGCTTATTATGTAGCTCCTGAAGTATTGCGACGAAATTATGGAGCTGAAGTTGACATTTGGAGTGCTGGAGTTATATTGTATATTCTTCTTAGTGGCGTCCCACCATTCTGGGGAGGTGTGGCTTTTGATCTTAATTGAGATTAAAAAATTCGGAAACACTGTTGATGCTGATATCATTGTTCTGATGTATGCTATACATTTGCAACCTTTCTGAAGAAGACATTTTACAGAACTTAAAATTTTACTGGTTGTAAAATAAGTTCATATTTATAACGTTGACAGTAGCTAAGATTTCTACTCCATTTTTGGAGTGCATGATGACCAAACTGATTGATAATATACAGTACTCGGATGTGCTTGGTGGTAGTGTCTCTCACCTTTTTCTTTGTTTCCTATGCAGAGACCGAACAGGCCATCTTTGATTCTGTTCTTCGGGGACATATCGATTTCTCCTCTGATCCATGGCCATCTATATCCAGTAGCGCCAAAGATCTCGTGAAACAGATGCTTAGAGCTGATCCAAAGGAACGGCTTTCAGCAGTTGAAGTTCTAAGTAAGTGCCACTCCTTGAGCAAGTTCTTTTTGGAGATTAAATTGGTACAAAGGTTTTATTTCTTAACTCCTAAAGTTCTGTGTTTGATTTCTTCTTCCCCATCTTCTCTAATTCTCTGCTTCATCTGCCCATTCTCTTGCCAAATAAAAAAGAAAAGAGAAGAGAGAATGAAAGAAACGAGAAAAGATCCAACTACACTCACACTCCAAAGTGTGCCATGGCTCATGCTTTGGAGACATAATTGCATGAAGTCCCATATGCTTGTTTTCATTGTTGTTGGTTGGAACTTGGAATCTTTACTGGTCACTGCTTGATCCAAGTGAACAAGCCATCCCCTGTGCAACAATAAGATTAGCTACTTCCTACTCGTGCACTAAACAAGATGTTGGCACTTGTTGGCATGTTTGGCATTGAGAACTGCCTATATTATTTTCATTATGCCTCTTTCTCCCAATTCTTTCTCTGTGTATATCTTGTCTATAGTTTTGCTTCAACTTCTTTTGCCTTTGTAAATGGAGGAGGAGACTTGATTAGACTAAAAATGTCATGCAGATCATCCATGGATGCGAGAAGATGGTGCCTCTGATAAGCCTCTTGATATTGCTGTTTTAACTAGAATGAAACAATTTAGGGCAATGAACAAACTGAAAAAAGTAGCACTGAAGGTGAGAAACTGTCTCTTTTTGGTTGAAAATTGTATTGTCATATTTTTGAATGGATGATCATTTGAAATTAGAAAGTTTAAGGTGGGATGCTATGTTTTTTATCTAAATGCAAAGAAACCAAAAGCATGAGCAGAAAAGAAAATGTTTGTCATTCTTATTGTAGTGACAAATGCCTCATCTTTCTTCAGGTAATTGCTGAAAACCTTTCTGAAGAAGAAATTAGGGGCTTGAAGGAAATGTTCAAATCTATGGACACGGACAACAATGGAACAATCACTTTTGAAGAGTTGAAGGCTGGTCTTCCAAAACTGGGTACTAAGCTTTCTGAGTCTGAAGTGAGGCAGTTAATGGAAGCGGTAACATATCTGTTCTTTTCTGCTCTGCCTGAGCTTAATGGTACCTACAGATTCTTTTTTATTCTATTCAAGCACAGAGAACATTTTAAGGGTAACCCCATTGGAATGTTTATCATTCTCAATTCTTATTTAGTGTTAGGCAGTCAACTCTTCACAAACTGAAGCTCTAGTTTCTTATCAGGATTAAAGAAGGAAGCCATTAGGATTGAAAACTGATGTGGATATTTATCACATGCACTCTGATGAATTGGGAAAATAGAACCTTTTCTTTTCATATAGTTTTAAAATGCAACTACAATGTTCAAGAATGAAGAGAATAGCTCAAAGCAACAGCAGAGAAATGCTACATTTTTCTGAGGCAGTTCTTTATGGCTACCTCAGATATGTTGGATGCATGTTTGTTTCTTCTTTTGATGATCTGTTCTGTGGTTCAACTGAAATTGATGAGCTTATTTTTCAGGCCGATGTCGATGGAAACGGAACAATTGATTACATTGAGTTTATAACAGCTACCATGCACATGAATAGAATGGAAAGAGAGGACCATTTATACAAGGCCTTTGAATATTTTGACAAGGACAATAGCGGGTAGATGCTTTTAGTTCTCTATCACTTTGTACTTCTGTGAATTTCTTTTCCCTGTACTTGTATTTGAATGTTGGTTTGTCTTGTTTTTATACATAGGTACATCACAATGGAAGAGTTGGAACAAGCCCTTGTGAAATATAATATGGGTGACGCAAAAACAATAAAAGAGATCATTGCAGAAGTTGACACAGACCATGTGCGTTTCTTAACCTTCATTTTCTACTGATTTTGCTTTTTTAAGGTCAAGGAACAGAAAGATATAGTTTCCATTACCAAAACTTGTGTGTGGAACTCGTTTGCGGAAGTGATTGAGTGCATAAATGTTTCATGCCCGAGAAAATTTGGTTTCTAAACTGCTATAGATAAATTTGTGAGGAACTGGAACCTCTTTTATCAAAATACTTGCATGAAGCTCCAGGGGATTACTAGTTTCTTAAAAGGTGTTTCTTAGCTCTTGATAATGTTAATTATTATGTGAAATACTTTGGGAGAATATAAAACCATGAATAATGTGTTCGTAACTCCTTTTGCAGGATGGAAGGATTAACTATGAAGAGTTTGTAGCCATGATGAGAAAAGGCAATCCTGAGTTGGCTCCAAACAGACGGCGCAAATGAGCTTGGTGCATTTTGCTCTCTCCTGGCTTCAATTTGTGAATTAACTATTTATTAATTTATTGATGCTGTTGTATCATGACTGAGACCGATGTTTGACCCTAGTCTGGCCACCTTCCCACAACAAACATTGCCCTTCGGAATCTGTTGTTGTCTGCCATACGTGCCCTTTGCACAGAGAAACTGACTAGAGTGGCATCATATTTTGGAAGAATTTTTTCATTTTTGTACTTGAGATTTATGAAATATTTCTTTACTGGTGAGGGTGTGGATTGTATAAGTTTTTGATCTTCCCCCTTCCTGTATGCCCACATTCATCATCATCATCATCATCATCATCATCATCATCATCATTATTATTCAGTTCTTAGAACTAACACAGCTTGTTCATTCCTAATTCACCTATCAATGAAGAAGCATTGGAATTTGATGGTGCCTTACTTTCGGGCAGTCTTTATAACAGCCATGTTACCATGTAGAGAGTGAAAATAATGAGAAATTTGATTATGTCAGATTCAAACTTCTGTTGGGTGCATGATTTCAGGGTTGCTAATACTTGTTAAAGCTAGAGAAATGTAGAAAATTAGCTGAATTCCACGTAGAGGCAATCGCGACAAATTCTTGAAAGGAAAAAATGAAAAATTGCAGTTGGATGATCATTTAAGGTGACCTCAATTTGAAATTTCAGCTTGGATGCAGCCCCAGTTTGGTACTCAATCCTGACATTATGCACATTAGCTTAAAAGCATTGAGAAAGTTGCGTAAGGAGTACGAAGAACAGAGTTCTTATAAGGTGACAGACACAGTGCGACCGCACACAATAGCTTAGCAACAGTAAGCAATTGGTTAGCACTAACAAAGCTTGACACACTATTCACCATTGCGATCACAAAGAATTGCCCAGCAACGTAAAGCATAACTCCGCTGAAGCTTACAAACAGCCCTACGCCCGAATAGGCAGAAACACGACGTTTCCAAGTTCTTACAGGATCTAGTTTTGATATAATATCCAACATCTGGGAACTTGAACTTGGCCTGTGAATGAGATACCTGAGTTCTACCCCGTTCTTGTCATAATTGAACTTGAGTCCTGTTGTGAACTCTCATTAGTTGACAGTCTTCAAGATTTTGGTCTGGTTCTTCACTGCTCTTCAAGAAAACAGTAATGGTGCCCCAAAAGGAAACAACTTTTAAAATAGAGGCCAAAAAGAATCTACCAGTGATGGCAGTCATGGCACCTAAGAGAAGAGGCTGAGGAAGCTGTGAGAGAATGACTCCTTGGAACACAATAAATTTGCAATCTGGAGGGTTTTTTTTTTCTAGCCCAAGAATTTGCTTTTTCTTGCTTATGCTTTTTTCATCTAGCTTGTCTATGTCCTTCTGAACTTCCTCATCAGGAATATCATTGCCAGAGCCTTGAGCACTCATTTTTTTGGGATCTTGACCCTTTATAATCGGGCAAAGATATGTTTTAATCAATTTCTCCAGCTGATCTAGAATATACTAGCTGCTTGTCCGCTCTACACTGCAGGTTCAATAAAAAAAAAATCATTTTAAAATTTAAAATTTTTTAATTATAATTTTTTAATTAATTTTTTAATGCTTTTTTAATAAATTTTATGCTTAAGAAAAAACATAAATCATTCTTCTTTATGGATTGATTTTAAAATAAAAAATATAATAATTTTAACTAAATTAATAATCAAGAATTAAAAAAAACTTTATACATATAATTTTCATAATATTTTATTCCAAAAAATAAAGTTATAATTAATGAACGAGACTTTTACAAAAATTAACAAATAAAAAAAATTATTTAATGCTAATGAGAAAATTAATTTTTGAAATTATCTATGCAATACTACGACTAGATAGAACAAAATTATTTAAAATTTTTTCATTATTTTTATTTAATTATTACAATTTTTGTGTGTGTGTGTGCGTGTGTGTGTTTTTCATAAATTTTTTGCTTAAAAAAAATGATTTATTCTTCTTTATTCAAGGATTCTTAAATAAAAACTTGTAATAATTTAAACCTGAAATATTAATTAAGAATTCAAAAAGAACTACTTTGAAATTATATATTTTTTAATAAGAATGTATCAAAAAAAAAATAATAAAGTCACAATTAATGTATAGACTTGCATAAAAATTAACCAATGGATAGAACAAAATCATTTAAAAATTTTATAATTTTTTCATTATTTTTATTTAATTATTAGATTTTTTTGTGTGTGTGTTTCATAAATTTTTTGCTTAAAAAATGATTTATTCTTCTTTATTCAAGGATTCTTAAATAAAAACTTATAATAATTTAAACCTGAAATATTAATTAAGAATTAAAAAGCAACTACTTTAAAATTATATTTTTTTTAATATGAATGTTTCAAAAAACAAAAATAATAATAAAGTCACAATTAATATATAGACTTGCATAAAAATTAACCAATGGATAGAACAAAATCATTTAAAAATTTTATAATTTTTTCATTATTTTTATTTATTTGTTAGATTTTTTGTGTGTGTTTTTCATGAATTTTTGGCTTAAAAAAATGATTTCTTATTCTTTATTCAAGGATTCTTAAATAAAGACTTGTAATAATTTAAACTTGAAATATTAATTAAGAATTCAAAAGCAACTACTTTAAAATTATATATTTTTAATAAGAATGTATCAAAAAAAATATAATAATAAACTCACAATTAATGTATAGACTTGCATAAAAATTAACCAATGGAAAAATAAAATTTTATTCTTATTTAATATTGGTGAGAAGTTTTTTTTTAAATATATGCATTAGATCTATGTTTATTTATTTACAAAATAATCAACAAAATTAGCATAAAAAACTATATTTGAATAATTATTTAGTTCCTTTCAAAAATTATTTTAATTGTTTTATTACAAATAAATTGGTTCTATAATGTTAAAAAAATATTCATAGTAAATAATTTATATTATGTTAGAATATTTATAGTTAATTTTTAATAAACTTAACAATTCAATAGTTTTTTTATATATCTTGATCACACCTAGTGAACTGAGACAAATTATTTAAAATACACTTTTAACCTTTTAGAATAAGATAATTATATATTTATATATGCGCATCTATCATTTAAAAATTCTAAGAATTCATGATATATATTATACCAATTTATTTTTTAAAAACAAAAAAATAATCGGGTTTTAAAATTTTATTCTAAAATTCAAACATAGAGAAAAATAAATTATATTTATCGAGTAAATAAAATATTATATAAAAAATATTAATTGGATGAGAATTTTCATACAAAATAATAAATTCAAAAAATAAAATTTAAATGATAAGAGTAATATAAGCTAATGTATATGTTAATTTTAAAACATTAAAAGATAGTGTGTGTGTGTGTGTGTGTGTGTGTGCGCGCGCGCGCGCGCTATATGAAAATAAAAGAAAAATGAAAACTAAGGATTGAAAAAAAATGTTACAACATGAGGGATGAAAAATAGAAAAGAAAAAGTGTTAAATTTGCATATTAATGCCAAAAAACACAAAAAACGACGTACAAAAATTACTTAAATTATCATCAAATGAATAGTAATTTTATGCAAATAAACGAGTGAGTGAATATGAATTTTAGACATATGAATAGTTTGGATTCTTAGGCAATGTTACGGACAAACTAAACATATTTATTTCAATTGGATAACATATACTATGTTATCGGTTAATTAAAATATATTAAATTAATATAAAAGATAAAATTTTATCTAATTTTATAATTTTTAATGTGTGTGTGTGTGTGTGTGTGTGTATAGTGAATAAATTTTGAAGTCAAAAAAATATAATTTGTTCTTTCTTATGCATTTATTCTTAAATAAAATACATAATAAATAAATTTTAATATAAATTTTTTTAAAAAAATCTTAATATTTTTTTGATTACATTGTATTGAAGAAATAAAGCAATAATTAAGATAAAAACTTATATGAAAATTAACAAATGAAACTTTTTTACTTGTTGAGAAGACTATTTTTAAAAATATATACATGTGATTTATATATATTTATTTACAAAATAATGAATAATATTATTATACAAAATTGTATTTGAATCATTAAGCGGTTATTCTAAAATATTATTTTAATTATTTTATTTGAAAAAATCATTTTAAATATTAAAAAAATAATAGCAAATAGTTAGTATTGTGTGTGTGAATACCTAGTTGATTTCTAATAAAATCAATGACTCTAATGTTATTATTTTTTGATACATCATGACCGTACTCAATAGGTGAGAATATATAAAATAAATTAAAAAATATTTTAAAAAATTAAATGGTAATATATATATATATATATATATTGAAATTAATAGAGTGTAGTAAAATCTATAAAACTGATTTCGATAAAATTTGATTATGTAAAAAATAAGGAAATAAAATACATATATTTAATTTTTAAAATTTCATTACATAAGAATTAAGGAAATAAAAACAGGTATTAAAAAAAATTATTCAAATCCATACATAGAGAAAATAAGTATTATTTATTAATAAATAAAATTATAAAAAAATAAGAAAAAAATAAACTTGATGAGAATTTTTGTCAAAAAAATCAATTTTATACAATAAGAGTAGTTTATCTTTATTCTAAAATCTAAAAACATATCATATAAATGTAAAATATATATATATATACTCGTCAATTTGTGTGGAAAAACAATAAAGATTGGTTTTTCAAAATTTTAACATCTAATTAAATAAAAAAAAACATAGGAAAAAAAAAGGCAAGAGTAGTGTTATATAATCGTTAGTTTGTGTGAAAAAAAAAAAAGATTGATTTTTCAAAATTTTAACACCTAATTAAATAAAAAAATAAATTGATGAAAAAAAAGCAAAGGAAAAAAAGGCATAATTAGTGCATCGGTTAGGGGATTAAAATTTTTATTTTAAAATTTTAGAGACCAAAATCAAACTTGAAAATTAAAGAAAAAAATTAAATAAAAAAAGAACCTAAATTGATGAGAAAATGAAAAGAGAAAAAAGAAAAAGAAAATGCATGTATACTGAAACAACTTGAAAAAAAAACATAATAAAATCTAAAAACATATCGTATAAATGTAAAAAATATCGTATATATTATATAATCATTAGTTCGTGTGGAAAAAAATAACGATTGATTTTTTTAAATTTTAACATCTAATTAAAGAAAAGAAGAACATAAATTGATGAAAAAAAAGCAAAGGAAAAAAAGAAGAAAAAGAAAAGGCATGAGTAGTGCATCGGATAGAGGATTAAAATTCTTATTTTAAAACTTCGGAGACGAAAATGAAATAACCTAAATTTTTTTTTAAAATTAAATAAATAAAGAACCTAAGAGATCAAAATGAAACAACCTAAAAATTTAAAAATAAATAAATAAATAAAGAACCTAACTTGATGAAAAAACAAAGGAAAGAAAAAGGCATGTATTCACGATAACTTGGAACAAAAGAAAGAAAAAAAATGAACGAGTACTCGAAACCAAAAAAGAAAAAGAAAAAGAGGTGAACTTGAAACAAAAGAAAGAAAGAAAAAGTAAAAAGTGAACAATACTCGAAACCAAAAAAAAAAAAAAAAGTTGTACGGGGTTGTGTACGATCACAACCCTATGTGTTTTGGATGTATAGTAATGTAAAGATGAATTTGACATGACCCTATATAAAGAAGAGGTATAGCATTTTGATGGGTTGACCACTTCTTGTCTTGTATAAAAAGATGAATCAACCTCGAGAATATTTGATTAAATATCTTAGTGAAAATGTCTAAAATTTTAAGTCTCTTGTATCTCTTCTCTCTAGAATATTGAGGGCTAATAATTGGTTAAAACCATGTCAAAGCTTACCCTTGATTAAATACCATACTTAGATTAAAGATAATAAAGAAGTACGAAGACTACTACGTAATTTATCTCTTATATTGCGGATTGTATATATCTTACATAGATATAGGATAGCTTTAAAACTTACCCTAAGAAAATATTTAATCCTAATTGCTCATACCTATTATTACTTTGTTTAAAATATAGCAACCTTAACAATCCTTCTAATTTTTACAAACAACTTGATAACCTAAGTAATAAGAACATGGGGCCGAATAATATTGAATATTGAATGTTCAATGGGTCGATGAGAACATGAGCTACTCGATGAGTCGGCCAATAAGGACATAGGCTTGAAAAGGAGTAAAAAAAACATTTGGGTAGAAAATTATTGATCCATAATTAGAATTAAAGCTGAAGAATTTTGAGCCAAGGCTAATGTATGAGATTGGGTCGAGGCTATTGAATAAGTTTTGGGTCAAGGTTGTCATTTAAGCTTTGGGCTAAGGTTGGTTGACGGTGTTTTTGACCAAATTAATAGCTAGTTGTTTCTTGAGTCGAATTTATGAAGATCTTGATAAAG